TTGCCAGTTTGAGTTAATTTGATCAAGGAGATTTGCTGATTTTGCTATTACTTCACTTCTATCTTCCACCGGTCAAGTGTTAAAAGTCAAGGCAATTATCGGGTTGCCTATTTCCATAGTCGATTGTTGCAACTTTAGATTGATTTTAACAAGGAATGTCTTTGCAACTGATTTTCATATTTTTTATTTGCTTTTTTCTCATGTTACCATCATCCATGGCCAATTTCTTCTTAGGCATACTAGATATCGCTATGCATATGGCGGCATTCTATAGCAGAATCTTCACTTTACGGTTGGTTAGAATCTGCCCGCTTTGCAATTTTTACTACTTTTGTAATTTTTTCAACTGCTCACACGAATTTTGAAAATCCAATTGTTAAACATCTAATATTGATAACTTTGAGACATTCTATATCCATTTCTTCGCACCTGATGCTTTTCACAAGTTACCATTTTTTCTCTCTTTCAAGGCTCTTTCTAAGCCAGCAACGATACGCTTATTGCTCAATCTTGTATTAAAAGCAAATCAATTTGTTTCTTTGGACCTTTTTCCAACATAAAAACACACAATACTATGTATTTTGCGGATGCGTTACTTTTATTTAACGAAGAAGTTTTGCAAACTTTGTAATGTCCTTTTAATAAATACAGTTTTGCAATTTTATGCATTTGTGTGGAAATACCGATAAATTGGACCGCGGACATTATTTGGCTCCAAAGGAAAACTGATATTTTATTAATTTTGTTTAATAAAAAATATCTCGCTCTTCTGCTGTAGAATGCTAAAAATGGATTTTAATGAAACTGTGGACTTGTTCCTATGTAGGACTGATATTTTCATGCTGAAGCAAATTAGTTTTTGAACAGAAATTCACACATTCAATAATTCGCTTCGTTTGCTCTACGAATTGTTAATATGAACAACTTCAAATACTTTTCTTTAAAGCATGTTGTTTGATTGTGACATTTTTGCAGTAAATTTATAATGGGGCAAAGTTTAAAATTAAGTTTTCACGTTACATGAAAGAAACCTGAACTGCTTGTGATTAACTTATTAATAATTATTAACTACTTGTACTTCAAAGCATTCAATATTAGACCGAAGAATGCAAATTTGGCAATCAAATTCTAACCCAGAGACGAACTTTTATGGTAATTCATATTACTGTTGCACATTTAGAAGACCTAAGTGTGGTAACTTGTCGGGAATATAATTGGAATTAAATTACTTTAATTGGCGCAATTAGAACTGATGTTGAAGTCGGGATCCATAAAATCGACGGATTTATGGATGGAGTACATTGAACTTCTGCATAAGCATACCAAACCCATGTTTAAAATTTGTCGATAAACAGATTGTAATATAATTCATTGATCCGGTCATAAAAAAATTGCGAAATTTTCTGGTAGATTAAATGTGTTCCTAACTTAAATTAAACTATTCCACGCTTTGATGTTCCGAATTGTTTTTTAGTGTGTTCTAAATTTATTCTGAATCTTACAAACAATGCATATCTACAAGAACTTTTTTGTGCTTCTATGTTAGTGTAAGCGTCTAAAAGACAAGAAGGATATTTGCATTTCAACAATGATTTGAAATATCAGGAAAGTGAGTTATTTTATGAGTTTTTGGTCAATATCAGTTCAATTTGTTGCCAGAGTTGAGGAATTAGTTACGGATCCAAAAGTAATAAAATGATACAATTCGAGCAAGATATTGTAAGTTTAATACAAATGCGCACTGAAAATGCTGCACAAGTTGAGTCTCTAAATGTAGCAGCCGAAGATAACATAAATAATTGAAGTGATGTGGTTTAAAGATAATCGTAAAATGCAATAACGTCATTTGCAATCTCCCTAATTCAAAACGATAGATGGCCACTGGATAGAGGCGCTTAAAACTCATAAAAAGTTGATATTCACTTTTTGCTTAAAATGAAGAATAAGAGAACTGCGTAAGTTTCTTATTTTTTTTTTCACCTTTATTAGATATCAACCTACATTCATGCGGTTTTTGGGAAAAAAGTGACTTGGGCCACTATCATTCAGCTCAGAATTGGTTTAAAAAATATTAAATATGGAGAACCGTGAGATCAAAGCTATAGGTTCAATTCAAGCTGACCATGGCCGATTAGGCCGAAAATATTCGGCAAGTTGTAAACTATTCACTGCTCAAATTAAATTCTTGACGGATTTTGAAACTTATCAAATAGGCAACCATAAAATATATGAGAAATTAATTCTTTTTCTGCAGGCTTTTCCCTACTGTTTCCAGCTTGAGCGCAGCAAGTTCTTCAGTTAGTCCCATTGTGGCATTCAATTAGCCACCTCTCACCGCATTCGCATTCGAAGGTGAATGAGCGCAAAAAACTCCAATTATTAAACCCCAACACAATGGCAACATACATCTATGAAGTCGACTCAATGATGCAATTAGACACGGATGATAAAACCGTTCTCGATCGTGACCTATGATTCGAACTGAGTCCTTGACGATGTATGAAATGGAACGTATGGAAAGTCTTTTAATTAATTGAAGTTGATCAACGTTTCTAATTTTGCGTAATCAACGATTCTCGATGGGGATAATAGGGTGATTGTTGATACTTGGTTGAAAGTATTGGAAGCAGTGAAAGCGGTGAATTTAGTTAAATTCTGCAATGATTTTGCCTGTTAGCAATCTTCAGGAGGACTGTTCGTATATAAAAGTGAGCTTTTTCGGAGCAATGAAGACATTTTTTTACTACTGAGGAAACCAGTGATCTTCTGACGTTGGCCACAATGCACAATGCGGATCAAACACAGTTGTAACATGATAGCTCCGAATATTCAACCAGCACTCTTTTAGATAAGTAATTGAACAGGATCCCATTGCTCAGGCTGAAAGGAAACCGTTGCAACCTACACTGTCGCATTGAACATTAATCAAGCATCTGTAGCTCGATTAAGCATACATCAATTTGCAACCGTCCATTTCCGGATGTTTGGCGCATAATAAATGCAAATAAACCCAGAAACACCGTTTCGCAATTTGCCATAAAAATAGCGGTGACAGAATTAGGAAACTCATTTCGCCTATCTGAAAGACCGTTTCGGATTTGTTTAATTACACGTTGACACAGGAAGGCGATAAATTCCAGCTACCCACATGTGAATCGGTTGTCAGTTGGGTTTGTTAGAAAGAAATTGAAGGTGGTTGAGCAAAAGGGATACATTATAATATTTTCTCATTTTTGTGTATCAGAAGAAACATAAATGTATACAGTCTGAGTCAAGTTGAATCGAAGAAGTTGAGCACGTTGATCCAAACAGTCATTTTGTAGCAAGAAAGTGAAAAATGGACTCGGAACAACATGAAATGTGTATGTACAAAGAATTAGGTGCAGAGGAAACCAACATGCAAATGTACAACTGCGGCAAAATATCCGAACCAGAAAGCTATTTTAATAGATCTAATGCAATTGATACAAATGACTTGCTAATGAAGTTCTACTAGTGATGAGCAAAGGAAGACCAAGACCAAGACAATAAACAATAAAATGACCTCAGGCTGTTTGCTATTTGATGTCCGTATGATTTTCTGATTAATGGTAAAATCTGAAGTCTTTACAGAATGAAGGAAGTACAACAATTTTAATTATTTTATAATTCAAAATTATTGAGGCGTACATTTTCATTGTCTAATAAGCTCCAGCAGATAAACACGTACATATTCTGACAAAAATACAGCACACTTGATTTGAGGCGTAGATATTTTTACGTTTTGATTAGGCTTTTAAAATTCTAACCGCAGCGCACATTAGACAAATATTACGGACAAACTCAACTATTAATAAATAACTAATTATTCCTTGCAATGACTGAGTAATTTTACTGTTTACACATCAACTTATTTCAGGACTCCCGCAAGGGATATTGGAAAAACACTAATTAAAGTGTATACTGTACACTCTTTCGCGGTATTAATTTACTAGTGAAGGTTTCAGTGTTGCAGAATGTGCAACGAACGTATTTTTTTTATTAACTTATACTACAATTTGAGGTAAAAGTTATTAAATATTCGTACCAACTACCTCCCCATTTAAATAATCGAGAACAGAAGGAAAAACATTTGGAACCTGGAAGCTATGGTTCCTAATTTTATGTTTTCTCACTTAGTGAATCGTTTAAAACGGTTCAATTTTCTTATAATCTTTACTACGAGGACAGATGTACTGCCGGTCAGTTTCGAATTACCTTTTGCAAGCGTCTTGCGAGAGTAACGCAATATTCTTGTAAAAGTCTTGGTCTTGCAGAATATGGTCTTAGTTTTGTTATTTCGCAATATCTTTGATCTTTCCAAGACACTTCGATCGGCAACACTTTGGGGTGAAATTAGCAAAATGAGCAACATCTGATAAGTGGCAAAACACGAACAAACATTCAAAAGTGTCTTGATTCTTTGCTTGATGGATAAACCATTTGGTTCATTGATCGCGTAGTCCTAATAGATCAACTACTGTAATAATCGGAAATAAATCTGTTTTCAAAAAACGGATCCTAAACAAGAGAAAACTTTCTAAATTATAATTGTTCCATCAACTCAATTTGCAACCCGGTGCTAATCAACCCTAGTGATAGCTGTTTTCTACACTCATTAAAGTCGATCACTTGATATTTAGCGCCTGTTTCACAACTAATCACTGATAATTGCAGACAAATCAACAACTTTTACTTTCAGTGATAAATTTCGTTTAATTACCGAGTCGATATCGTTTAATCCCTAGTTAGAAAGTTGGTGAAAATCTAGATGCGAAACTTGCAAGCCAAACCATATTTTTCGTCGTATGGCTTTGCTATAAGAATATTTACTTTTCTGGACACCACAAGTATAACCGAAACGGTAACCCAGGAATTTTTTTTATGTTGCTTTCTATTGAATCATTCAACCCAAACACCACAAACCTTAACGGACGTCTTAAGACGGACACGTCTAAGTAAACAAAACCTTTTTGTTGCAGGTCAGCGCTTCAAACCTTGCACAAAGTGAGTGCCAAAGCCCGAGAGGGCAATTTCTTCCAAGGTGGAAGCACTCACGCTTGGGTGGAACATTACGAAACGCGCGTTGCCTCAGACCGTTCCTGTCTTAATGAATGGCACGCAATGGACTGCTTGGAGTCCCGAAGACCTCCATCTCCCGATTCAGTGCGAGCCAGACCGACGGAGCGCAACGAAACTGAAAAGGTAAGCAACTTCAGGGCTTGTTGATGGCCTGCTTGCATAATCAAAATCCTCTTCAGGTGATCAGATCCACTCTGAAGGAAATCATGATGTCTGTCGATCTGGATGAGGTCACATCGAAGTTCATCCGATCGCGTCTCGAAGAGCAACTCGATATGGACCTGGGGGAGTTCAAGAGCTTTATCGACCAAGAGATGCTGGTCATTCTGGGTCAGATGGACGCTCCGACCGAAATTTTCGACCATGTCTATTTGGGGTCCGAGTGGAACGCCAGCAATTATGAAGAATTGCAACGTAATGAGTAAGTGGTTTTGTACTTGCACGTCCCACATTAAAAAACTGAATTTGGTGATAATAATGCGATGCGGTAATAAGATTTTTACTGTTCTGTGTGCGATGTTTAAATCAGTTAAATAATTGTTCCGCCTTTCAATGACTTCTAAACACATTAAAACACTTTTCTTATTTCACCAACTTTCACAACTCTTGTGAATTGGCGTCATTTTTTGTTCCTATTTTAGAGGATTTTCTAAAGTAATGTGTGATTTTATTTTTATTTTGAACTTATTATTTTACTTAGTTTCAGTAGAAAGTAGATTATTAATTGCTTCTAGCTCGCAAACAGTGCACCACAGAGCATAATCTCCTCCGGGGTCATTAACTCTGTATTGCATTGCTTTCGTTTTCGCAAGCCAAAAACATGTTTTGTTTCCAGAGTTCGGCACATTTTGAATGTGACGAGAGAAATCGACAACTTTTTCCCCGGCACATTCGATTACTTGAACGTGCGCGTCTATGACGATGAAAAAACCGACCTGCTCAAGCACTGGGACGACACATTCAAGTACATTACAAAAGCAAAAAACGAGGGTTCCAAGGTAAGATTGAAGTGGAGTGAGATTTGGCTCTAGTGGCTGAAACTTTTTTGATTCTTTAGGTGTTGGTACATTGTAAGATGGGCATTAGCCGATCGGCCAGCGTAGTGATTGCGTACGCCATGAAGGCCTACAATTGGGACTTCAACAAAGCGTTGCATCATGTCAAGGAGAAGCGCACCTGCATCAAGCCCAACACCAACTTTCTGGCGCAGCTGGAAACATATCAAGGTAAAAAAGGAGTAGGTGCTCAGTGAATGAAGTTACTAAGTTGATCATTGTGTTGGTTTCCAGGGATCTTGGATGCAATGAAGAACAAAGAGAAACTGCAGAGATCAAAGTCTGAAACTAATCTGAAATCGCCCACTAACAATAACAAAGCGGAGAAGGCGCCTAAAGGTAGAGAGCCGACGCCAGTCGTGCCAGTCTTATCCAAATCTTACGATCTCCAATCAATGCTCTCTGGCCAAGACCTGAGGCAGATAGGGACGCGCCCTAAGTCCTGGTCACCTGACAACTTAGCAACCAGGGAAATCAAGGAAGGCATTAAATCATCTTCCGGTATGTAGCCGGACGTCCTGGCACTCCAATAGAAAAGCTGCACATTTTTGTCGTTTTCAGGATTTATGAGTTTGGAGGATCTAAGCCAGAAGAGCGCATCGAAAGAGAGTGTGCAAGAGTCGAAAGCGTCCCTAGCTCGGCACGTGTTAATGCCCTGTGATAACGGCGAATCTTATAGTGTTTCTCCGAACCAAATCGTGCACCTTCCTGGCCATGACACCACCCCGTCCCGTCCAGAGGACAAAAAGGCTGGCGATCTGGACACGAGCGACCATAGTTCCTGTAGTGTTAGTAGTGCAAAAACTGCTGTGACGTCGGAAACGTGGGATCCCGGAGAAAAAAATCTGGACGAAATAGTCTGTGACAGTAGAACCGACAGCGTCTGTGATGAAAAGTTTAGTAGTGTAGTGGCTAGCGAAAGCAACACGCCGGTCTGGACCTCATCCGCCGTGATAGTGGCTCAATGTGCTGTGTCTTCTAGTGGTTTTATTAACAAAGTTCCTGAATCTCGCTGTACTAAAAACACTGCTCAAAGTGATCCGTTTTCGAACCAGCTCGACCGGGTGTTCGACAAGGAAGAGAAGAAGCAACAGAGGCGAGCTACGATACCAATTGCGGGCGAAAACAGTGTTGCAACGGAGGAGAACCTGAAGCGGGACTGTCCGTCGAGGCAGAGTTCTTGGAGCTCTTACGATAGTGCCGTAGCCATGGGATTTTCGGAGAAAAACGAACTGTCTAGGCACAGTTCGTGGGGATCGGGAGACACCAGGATACTGCCCAGCAGGAACAGCTCATGGGGATCATACGATATGCGACCCAGGAAGTCTGTCTATTATAGCAATGAAAATGGTAAGCTGAGCCAACCTTTTATTAGGGTATCGGTGCGAAGTTTCGTTGAAGGAAGGAACGGTTTCGTTCGTTTAGGAGAAATTCAAGCAGTTTCAAGAAAAAGTATTTGCAACGTTAACTAAAAAATTCATCCAGAATATACATTTTTAAATATTCAAATTGCTCTAAGTAGTTGTTTATGTAATTCCTCTTTTTTATCATTTTACCGATATCAGACGATTTCAATTGATTTTTTTCAACCGGTGGGTCAGATATGAATGGCATTTTGAAAAAGATCATGAGAAGAATTATCTGATTAGGGGACTTTCGAAAAACTGATATTGATGATAATTTCAATTAGCAAGTGTGAGTTTGAATATTCTGCTATACAGGATGTTCCATTACCTTGAAATAGCTACATTAAGTCTGAACGGTTAGGGATAGACAAAACAACAAAAAGAGCCGGCGGCATCAACTTGGGTTTTCCAAGTTTCGTTTTACTTCTGAATTGTGCATTAAATTTATAATCATTTGATGTTCCATTGTCAATTATTTGGTTCAATCGTTGACCAGCAATTTTCATTTTCTTGTGGAAAGTGACACTTGCAAAGGGTGTGTTGAAAATTAATTTCTCCAAAACGGCAAGAAATAGCAACTTGCTTGTTTCCTCGGCTGTTAGAGGAATAAATTAGTTTTCTTTCTCTTATTTTAAAGATTCATTAGATGCTCAGATGTATTTTCTATAAAATAAGATGCGTTCAAATATTTCAATTGACTGAAACAATTTTATTTACTCAATATACATTTCGCATGTTATTCTGCGTCATTATTATATGCGATAGTTCGAGTTAGTTTGGGTTAGTTCGAAAGTTTCGATTTGTAAAAGGAAACGTGCAAATGGTTACGAGTGTTCACCTGGAAAGCTATATTTGCACGTTGCAAAAATAAGTCAAAGGGATTTTCAATACATTTCTCAAACTTTTCAGATCAATGCGTTTTCTATGTTGTAAAATTTTTCCATTGAGAGATTATTCAGTTCTAAAGTTACAATTTTTTGAAAGAATAAATAAAGAAGAATTAAGTGAACTCCTTCCACTATACCGGGTGTCAATTTGAAAACTTCCCACCCTTAATATCGTTCTTGCAGTTAAAAGTATGAAAAATTGGAAATACCCGTCAATTTTATTTGTAAATAGGACACTTTAAATGAATATTTTTAGCCCCGTTGTTTCAACCCCTGTCAGTAGATGTCACCCTGAGAATCTTAAATGGGAAGGGGGGTCAAGTGGCACATCGTTTTAAAGGGCATTCAATTCTCTTTACATTAGTTATTACTTCGTTGCTTTTTGTCCAGATGTTTCCGCATAATCGCGTTTCAAAGTTACAGAAACAATTAAACTTTTGCCTGCATAGAGATTTATATTTAAACAAAAATTATGTCATTTGTTCTCCTTATGGTACAAATGATTAGAAGATTCGGTTACACCGTTAAAATCGTTGAATAACAGAGAAAAAATCTAGTTTCAACAATTAATTTCAGATTTATTAATTATTTTACTTCGAGACAAATAACTTTTTATTTGCGAAAGAAAAAATTCTATGATAAAGGCCATGAGATCTAAGTTGTTGAAAATGTTGTCCATTTTCCTGTAAACGATATCAAAGTCTATTTTCGAACTCTCCTTAACATTGATAAGATACTCCCGGATAGATCGATTGGCAGTAGGGGACCAATTGAATGGCCTCCAAGTTCACCGGATTGAACACCCTTAGACTTTTTTTGGGGACATCTTAAGTCCATTGATCGGTAGAATGCCGGTCAATTCCCGGTGAAGTTCTGTGAAAATTGGCTAAAATGATATTCTCTACTGAATAATTAGTGGTTATGATGTTGATTTGGAGGGAAATCGAGATAAATCCGGTACTGGAATTTACTTTCTTTTCAAATTTATGAACAAAAGTACACAGCGAGCCACGCATCAAAAACGAGTCGATTTTAGAAAAGTGTTATCTTATGCTGCTCCTTTTGATATCAAGAGTTTTTATATCCATTACAGATGCTTAAAGAGATAAGCCCAACATTAAATTTTCTAGTCTAACTTTCTCGTAACAGCAGACAAAAGATGCAGGTTGCTATCTCTTACCGTTTCGGAGAAATTCATTTTCAAAATACCATTTGCTACCTTTAGTAAGAAAATTCAAATTGTCAGCAACCATAAGATCAAATGATTGAGAATAGGGTATAAAATAATTGCGAATTTAATGCAGAAATCAGAAATGACGAGAAAAATTGGGTGCTCTTTTTAAAAAATCAGAGTTTCTGCCGGTAGTACTTCTGCGGGAAATTATTTTCATGGGAATATGCAGACCGCAAAATTAAGAAACCACGGTATTTTTAATTTTTGCCTATCCCGAACCATTTAGATGGAATGAAATGGCTCAATAACGATCATATTTTGGTATGTAAGATCTGAAATTTAATCGTTACTCACCGCAATGACTATCCATTTCGAGGCCATGAATTTCCTGCACAGGATCCAATCACATAAACCATCCTCAGTATTCCAAAGTGGCTCAAATTTGTCAATAATGGCAGCACATAAAATATATTTTTTTGTTATTTATATTAAGACCTTTTGTTATACGCAGTCATTGTAATTAATAAATTTGTATGATTCAGGTGAAAAAATCCTCCACAGTGCATCTGACTTGGAGCACAGTTCGAGTGGAATCTTCCCGTATGATAAAGAAGACATTCCCTGGCATCCGGGAACAGTGAAGCGCACTAAGCAGCGCCTGGAAGGGAGCAATGGTAGGCAGCTCAATCAGGATCAGAGTGTGAGCAGTAGTGCCACATCATTAGCAAAAACTCCCAGTTCTGAGGGGATTCCCGCCAACTTAGTACAGGCCGTGAATGAAACTCTCATTGAGCGTGCAAAAACGTCGGGTGAAGAGCCGACTAGTGCCATATCGGAGACAATCAACATTCCTAAGAGTGAGTTACGCGCGCCCAAGTTATCCAGACTTTCGGCCAGCGCTCCAGAACCTTGTTCGATGGAATTGGTGGTCCAAGAATGTTCCCTATCGCGGTCAGCTTCGAACGTGTCTTCTTCTTCAAATGCAACTATTCAGCAAGGTGAGATCGCAGCCGGAAAGCTGGATCAATGGACATCAGTGAAACGACAGAGAAGCTTCCTGGAAAGTCTGCAGAAAGAAGCCACTTCATTCAGCAAAAAAACTGAAGATCCACTTGACACTGCCAGTTCATTGGGAAAAGTACAAAATTTGACGAAAGAGTTTGAGGCAAAATCCAGCACTACATGTCTAGATCAAATGAGTGGGCGCGTCGATCAGGCCGACGCTGGTCCCAAAGGATCCAAGAATCTAGTCAGCAGTCTGCCTTCATCGCCAGTTTGTGTTCATCAAAGCAAAGAACAGCCTCAAAATATGGTGAACGACGATCTAAAGTTCAAGCAGATTCGAAGCGTGTTCGAGAACAAGGACGATGTGAAGTTGCGGCAAAATAATGGAAAGTCCAATAGGGTAAATTCACGTTACTCGTGCTGTGAAGTCAAAAATCCCCGAGTCGTCGGTCTGCCGCTGATAACCAACTCAAACCGAGCAGAAAAAACTGAGCGCGACTGCAAGCGACCACCCATTGTTCCGGCTGTGAAGCAAATCGCCGCCACTGTTATTGACAGAGCAGTGAAGAAGCAGCAACAATACGGAAAAACCCATCCCCTGGCCAAGATCAACATCAAATCCAGACAAAATAATCCTCTCTACAACACAATGTAAAAAGCCACACAAAAAAACTGGTGGAGGTGAGTGTTTTTTGATAAAATTAGGATATTTTATTCAAATTTAAGTTAAAGCTTCGATTGGCTCGACCATAAAGCACAAACGTTATTAATCCATATTGGGTTTCAAATTTTATAAGCGGGGTGTTCAACTAAGGTTTTGCGCCTGCCACGTTCCTGGCCATTGAGAAGCATTTGCATTTGTATTCTTTCTCTTATATTGTCAACATTTTTAGTTGAACACCCAGTGAAATCAAAGCGTTACAACAAACACTGAAAAATTTGGACTTTTTTTGAACTGGGACAACTTCTGGAGTTACTGCCCATGCAGGGTGGAATGGGAGACCCATAATCGTTAACAATTACTAAATATAATACAATAATTTGAAAATAAAGCTTTTGAAACAACACTTTAATATTGCGGCTCGCTAATTAAAGGTTCCCTGAACCCTGGACATGGTCTTTAATAGTGCTCATTTTTAATTGCCTAAAATTTCCATCAGGTTGAAAAATTTAAAGTCATTGAATGCCAGATCCCAAGTCCAGAAGCTCTTTTAAGACTGTTGTTTATTTTAATCATGTGGTCTGCAGTGGCTCCATCCTAGCAGCTTTAACATGATTTTATGGATATAGGGGCCATATGCCATTACCAAACTGTAAATCTACATCACAAACATTAACAAATGGGTCTTATTTGCGCTAGCGTGTAACGCTAATGTTACAAAAAAATGGCTGTGACTGCACTATTACTTTACCTTATTTTTGTTAGATTTTACCTGTTAAATAAGTTTTTCCCGTTGTTAAGGCAAATTTTATTTAGTATCACAGAGAGTAAATGAGCTATTGAACTGAAATTGAAAAAATGCTCTCTATTTTCTCAATATCTCGGTTTATTGTGAATGATCAGTGGCAGTTAGAACAAAACGAAAACGCTCTATTTTTCTGCTCAGAAGGCTACAGTAAAATTGTATATACATAGACTGTATTTAGTCATAATTATGCACTTATCACAATGACTGCTATCTTAATTTGCCCTTTTTGTGTTTCAAAATCATTTTAATGCCTGTGCATTAATAACATCGTTTATTATATGTTAGAAATTGAAAAGTAGGTCAATCGTAATGCGAGATGTTTTATATATTAGTTGAATTAGCTATAAAATTTCCAGCTTACTGTGTGTCTAAGAGGATCTGTGTGCTGATGTAAATAGGGCAAAATATATTTTCGGACACGTGGATTTGCATTCAGTAGAGTATAACGCTTCCCAATTCAAACATTCTTAACTTTTCGCCATTTCTAGAAATGTATATTCGTAATGTCCCAGCAGCCGAATTTCCTATTTGTTCGAATGGAATACTGAAACTGCTCATCCCAATGGTAGAACGAGCATTTAGAAATCATTGGGACATTTTGAAATCAACTTCTAGCTCAACTCGAACTTGACAATAAATCGTTATCATCACCACACCAGTAGGAGTGGCCAAAAGCCATACTGTGCTCGCTCTCTCAGTTTCTAGATGGCACCAATTCGGAAAGATCTCAAAACAGTTGGTTATTTTAGTACTAGTCATCTGCAAATCGTTCCTTAAAAGATCACATATTTCTATTAGAACTTACCGTTTAACTTAAGGTTTTGCTTTTAAATTTTGACAACGCGGGATTAGATTATTTCAACAGCCAGCTGTTACGAAGGCTGTAGGTACCCTAATAAATGGAAAATGAGGAAAAATGTTTTGTTGCCAAATGATGACTTGTAGGTTACTGAAAAACTTTTCTGATGTGAAATGCATACGCTGTCGTTTTTTGCTTATGTGTGTATTTATGTGATAGTTATAAAAAAATTTGTACTATAGGTGTATAAATTATTCTACGATGTACCGCTTATAAAACATGAGAGAACTGTTTCAAACGTAAAGTCTACAAAAGAACATTTATTGTTTCGGATTTTTGTGGTTTTTTTTCACCAACCCCTTTCGTGTCCAACAAATCATATCTAATTAAGCAAAATCCACTTGATATAGCCTTTTGCCGCAAACGAACGCCATTTTCGGCACAGTGGTTATATCATTTTTTACGCTGTATTTTTCTGATTTTGTTTCTTTTTTCGCCTTCGCTGGCCCCAGATCGAGACCGTATATTGCTCCAGGTAGTTGGTTTATAACAGCAGACGTCTGGAAATTTATTATTGTTTAAAACAGTACCTATGGATGGTAAAAAGTATTTTTTTATTAAGCTCCCACGTTTTTTTCGGGAAACTGAAAGCGTTGCCGGTCTGGGTACTGTTTTGAATCCTATTTTTTAGATGTTTTCACGTCATGTTTTTTCTCGATGATTTGCTCTGAACTAAATAGATTTATAACCTTAGTGTTAAAAATATCTTTTTTCCTATTTAAAACTTAAAATATTGGGTTCATTTTACAGGTATGGTTTTATTGGATCCTATAAGAAATCAAAATTGCCTATCCAGTAAGACCATTGTCGAAGTTAAGCCCTAATGCGATCAAGACCAAGAATTGGAATCATACAAAGTTTCCAAATTCATCTACTTAGTCAAAACTTGCAAGCTCTATTTGACTCAGTTACTTGCTACTTACCGCTGTAGTTTGTAAGTCGACCACGCGAATGAGATTCGGATCGGAACCTGCGCAGACCACGAAGTCTCTAGTAGCGTACTTGCCGCAATACAGCTGAAAAGCCAGAACATAGTGTAAACAAACGCCAATATTATTCCAATTCGCACCTTAGAGTTGTAAATATCTGGCTCTAAGCAGTTTATCCGTTTAGTGCTTCCATAGTCGAAGATCTGTAGAGGATCTTCTTTTTGCCAAGAACACGCCAGCACCTGCAATCAATGAGGAACGCCGCAGGTAAGTAACACATTAAACATTTGCCAGAATTTACCGAGTGTACCTGCAAATTATTTAATATTTATTTATTACATAGTCATAATTATGCGAAAACGCGTCATCCTTTGGTTGCTGGAGCCGGAGCCAGAAATTTCGTGATGATGCAGCGTCATATCATATACAAAGGCCTAATTAAGGAACATGTTCCTAGATACACAGGACGTCCAAAAATTGGTAGTGCAAAATTTGATCATTTTATAATTTATCGCCCCTCGTTTTTGAGGGTAACAATGAGCTCACATAGATATACCTTTTTTGGTGGTGTTTTTTCAGCAAATGCGGTTTTCAATCACATTTGACTTGTATTAATATTCAATAAAAAAAGCGTTCGAATGGGATAGATCACAAATCTTTGGCCAGCTCTGGTACTATTGCTGTTAAATGTCGATTCTACCTATTCGCAATATTTAGTCTATTTTCGCCCTGATAGACTTTTTACTAATTTACCTCAGTTCCTTTTTGGTTGATATCGAGCCCTTCGCCGCACATGTGAACGCCGGAGATGTGGCGTGCGGCATGCGGTTGCCTCAAGTCCCAAAACTGAACCACATCGTCCCATCCTGCCGTCAACAGTTCGTAGTTGTTCTTCGGATGAAAGCAGGCTGCAAACACTCTGGACATGTGACCATCGTGGGTCTCTGGATTGTCGCTAGAAGTACAAGTACGTAGGATGTTGCTTTGAATCATCCACTCAGCTATCTGTTTATTAGTGAGTTTACGGGGTATTTTAAAGGTCTTGGTAGGGTAAAAGTACACCTATCACCGATTTACACAGTTTTCAAATGTCCGCCGGACCGGATTCAGAAGATTTCATCGAAAATATATTTTTTAGCGCTTTAAGTTATTTTAAACTTTGTCGCCTAGGATTCAGTGCATTAAATTATCAGAAGCAGACATTTATGCGTTATTGTGTTTTTCTTTTCGTTAGTGAAAAACGATTTTATAAAATTTCTAAAAATTTAGAAGTTTTGTAATCCTAAAAAAGCAAGAGGAAAATAGGAAAATAAAATGGTCAGATCGTGTGCTTAATGGAAAAATAGTCACATATATTACGACCACAATAAGAACAGTGAGAAAAAAAATGAAGATTTCATCAAATAAGTGTTAAAGCTGGATGTTCCACTAATATGGGCACAGAAAGTAAGAAAAACATATTAAGGATTATGGATAGAAGCGGATATCAGTTGATTGAAAACCAGGCTTTGGAGATTTATGGAATAGTTAAGAATTGGTTGCGATCGACTTCTTCAGCTGAAAAGAAGCGGCTGTGGTCTTTGCAGGCCGTAGTTGGTTTTAAAGATTTAAAGGAATACTTTATATAATCGAAGATTGGAAGATGAACAAACATCTGCTGAGTCATACGCAGACGTATAGGTATAGAGTGAGTGTGTGTTGTGGCCTGTGTGTTTTTATGATCAGGACTTAGGACCGCTTTCTTTTCCTTCTTTTCTTCCTAGATATTTGTTTATAGGACAAGCATATCTTAAAAATTGTTTTTCTAAACATATCTGAAGTTCTGATCATAAAAACTGGGACACCCTGTATATTAATGCTCCAATTTCGCAAAAAAATGCGCGAAACCAATGCCTATAAATCAGATATTCCCGATTGCTCGGAATGCAGTTTTTTTCGAAGTTCGAGTTTTCATATTGAAAAAAAAATGTAAAGTTTTTATCTTCAAAAAAGGCGCACTTTTTTGGAAACTAACTTCGTTTTCCAAAAAGCGACGAAAGCTCGATTTTGACGTTGTTCGGTAAATGTCTTCATCTCTCTCTCAATCTCATACAAAAATTTCATACCAAAATTCTTAAAACTTCCCAAAAAAATGTTAATGAAAAATTGATGTTTTACTAAAAATTAATAGTTTTCAATTGGGGGTATTCGAAAACACCATAAAATCTCAAAATTGCTAAATTCTACGTATATAAATCAAATAATGATGGTTTTGCTCACTGCGGTTTTTTCAAATCTTCAGTTTTGTGTTTCCAAATAACTATGAAACTTATCCCTCATTTTCTGTCTATAAATTGCAAATGTGCTCCTCAACATCCCTAACATTTCGTTTACAATTTGGATATTTAAGAACGAATCTTTTACTGAGTTAAAGTGCACTTTTTTCCAAAGTTTTTTGACAAATTTCTCCAAAAATGCCATTTTAAAATCTTTGAAATTTCCTATCAATCTCATTTAATGAAAAATGGTAGTTAAATACGTTTCGTTTTGAATTTGAGTTTTGGTTTTTCAAATAACCATAAGTCTTTAGTGCCTTATTTTCTGCCAATCAATTGCAATGTAAATTGCAAATGTAGGCCCCAATATTCAAAAAAATTGGTTATAATTTCAACATTAAAAACATAACTTTTATTGAGTGAGAGTGCACTTTTTTTGGAAACTAACTATGGATTACCAAAAAGCCCAAAACCCCGTTTTTTTCAATGTTCTCCAAAAATCGCATTTTCAAAACTTTCCATCAAACTCTTTTATTGAAAAATAGTCGTTAAAAATGTTTCTTTTTAAATTTGTGCTTTGGTTTTCAAAAAAAAAACATGGAAAATCCTTTTTTGCTCATAAATACTGGAAAATAAATCCACTTTCATAAAAATTTGCCGCATACCTCTCTTAATACCAGTCAGAAGCTAAAAATTATCGCCTCATTGAAAATAGCGCAAACTTCTTCGAAAATCACCAATTTGAAAATTAAAATCACCTGAAAAAACTGCAATATATGGGAGTTTGAAAGTAAAGTAAACACTTTTGCTGCAGACAAAATTTGTCGCGTAACTCTCTTAACACTAGCGCGTTTTGAGAAAGTAGAATCTCATTAAAAAGCGCACAATTTTACCTAAGCATTGCGGCTAAACTACCGGCGGATAAAGAATTAGATGAGGATGGTTTAGTTAATATGTTTAATGAAATAAATTATTGTGGCATTGATCTAAATGAAGAGGAGTACGAACCAGGTGCGGTCTCAGCAAAAGACGTCGATGAAGAACTGGAACTAGCGCAAAAAGTAGACACTCATTTTCTACAAAATGACTTGAATGCTAAGGAAGCGACTTCTTTTTCAGCGAGATTTTAATAAACGCTCAACTGAGTATGAGGAGCTCTATAAAGCTTTTTATCACAACTCAATTCATTATTTATCGATTTCATTATATTAGCACGATTCGCCGATCTCAATTTGTGTCCAATACATTTAACATGAAACCTGGTCCAATAAGTAGGTAAACACAGGGTGTCCCGTAACCAGATGACCAAAAGGGCGCTGTGACATTATTTAAGTCAAAAGAAGTTAATCTGACCTAACTTTTATTAAAAACAAATGTCCGGATTATCTGCTATTGATGGTTAAAGGTCTCCGAAAAAACTAAATTATTTTGAAATATTTGTGATTTGTACGGTTTTCTAAATTTTTTTTAATAAGTGTACTTCAGTTTTTACCTTTTGAAATAAAAGTTTTTTGCTTTGCTCGTTTTGAAATTAATGCAACAACTTACCTAGATGACAAAACCCTCTCCTGAGTCTTTGTCTCTTCGTCGTAAAAGTACACCTTAAGATCATCACCAAAAGTGACAAATTTGGGAAATCTCGGATGATAAACGATCCCAAATGTTTGCCGTTTTTCCCGGATGGTATAAAGACACTGATTGAAGTTGTAGCTCCAACATTTCACACACCCATTAGCATCTAATATTTGATGGATAAAAAAAGCAAATGTGTTCAAATGGTATTTCGAATCACAAAGCTCTCACATGTGCCAGTATAACAGTTGGTGATCGGATATATTTTCGATACAGGGCGGTGTTTGATCGAGGTAACGGGGGCTCTGTTCTCCTTTACATCCCCATCGGTTAGTGTGAAAACAGGCTCTCCAGTTCCGCTTTGGTACATTATAATTACCCCGTCCGCATATCCGACCGCAATGTAATCGAATTCTTCATTGTATTTGCAACAGAGCGCCTCTCGTTTCCCATCTCTAAGAATCGTTAGTGCAATTGATTTAAAATTTACTATTGATCTGGACATTTTCTACTGAAAATTCATTGCTCCTAGAAACTGTTATGTTGGATGAAGGTTGTTTTAAATTTTTGCCTTAATTATCAAAGTAAATGGTTTTCCAACTAATTGACGCTAAACATGCTTCACAAATTGCTTTGCATATTCGTTTCCGTCGAGTGATAATGTAAACATATGACTTCCGACATGCGAAAGAACATTGACTAATAGCGAATAAATTAAATTAAGTGGTTCAGTTACATCCTGGAAATGATGCTGATCTTGCCATCTATTAGAATATTCTCTTTGGCCCCGCCTCTTCGGGACGCCTCCACCATCCTCCTTTCTGCTTCATCGTCTTCGTCTGGTTTCGGGCCGGTATCTTCATCCTTTTTTCGAACACCTGAAGAAGAGCGATTTTCAGCTTACACTTTTTAATATATTTTTTTGTGACTAAGTAAATGCTGTTTTACTTGCAAATCAAAAACAAACATAAATTGGCGAACCGTCGAAGGTATAGGAATATTTAAAGATGTGGATCCACCTAGAAAATTAAGGGCAGTTTGCTTTATAAGCTAGGATCGAAAGTAAGTCTTTACACACTAGGAGTAACTAGGAGATTAATGATAATTTTTAAATCTGTTTGAGATGGTTTAGCGATATTTTGTAGATATACCTAAACTTATAATATTCCGACAAATAGCCAATTTGAATCAGATTTTCTGCTTGCAAGATAAGCTGGCTTTTCAAGGAAAGCTACCAATAACAAAGTCGTTTTCTTAGAAAAATATTTCTCTCGTCACGAACACGCGTTTTCTGAGGCCTGAGTCTGTTTCCGATTTAAAACGTCCAGTATGCAGCTAAATTTTCTATTTTCGCAAAACTTGAAAAGTGTCTTATACAATCAATTCAACAATTGTCTGGTCTCAATTCATTCAATCTTAATTCGTTTCTTTCATTCGTTCATACGCTCTTATTTTGCCAGTATGTAGTTTGTAAGTGCAACTTCGGATATTGTTGATTGTTGTTTTGTTTAGGTCGGGACAGTTTTGTACTAGTATTATTTGGTTCTGGTTTTCCTGTAACTGGAAGTTGAAACAGTGCAGTTCTTTCTTATTCGACACGTTATTTTTACTATCTTTCTAATTTTATTACATTATTTTCGGTTCCTGACTGATGGTGGCGTAGAGACTATTTGACCGAATGCGGTTATTATTATGATAATCGGCTGTGAAATATAGTTTTTCAGTAGAAAGGCGGAATTTTGTTGAACTTTTACAAGCGTAATACAAACGAAATGGCAATTCTTTTAGGATTGCTTTCGCTTTGACAACTTTAAACTAGCAACAAAACTCTGAAGATTTGTCGATTTTAAAGCTACTCTATTTTATACCACTGGCACATCTCAAACGATTTCACAAATATTTATTAATCCATTTTTGGCTCATTAAAGCAAAATACCATTGCTTTTCCTTGCGGTTTTACGTCCTAAAATATTGGCAATTCATTAAGGAACACCGTCTAGAGGTGCGTTTTTCGGGTAAAATTTTCTTTCCCGAAATGTAATACTAAATTTACCTCCTGAGGTATTAACTGATGTAGCAGCATGAGGGTACAGCATCGAGGGAGTGACATGAGACGGGCCTGTTTTAAGTTTTTTGGGGGTTTGGGGATCGTCCGTCATAAACGAGGGAAGTAGGGATGGATCCTCGCTCTTTTTCGTCCCGCTATGCATTGTCACTTAATCAGTAGCACCTACTATAATAAAGTATTTCATATTACATAAATATATTGCAACCTAAGCCGAGGATATTTATTCAATTCCTTGCATGATGGGATATAAGAAATCACCATTACTGAACACATAAGAGATAGATTATTTAACCAATGTGTCTAATGTAAGATGAAAAACTATTTCTCACAGAAACACTTAAATTTGCCACCGATTATTTGCAGAATTTGTCCGCTTTTTAGGTCTGTAAAATCGAAGGCCGATCTTTTTTCTCTCAATTGCATAAAAGTAACTTTTTTCAGAAAAACTATACTTTTTCTAGTGCAAACACGACGAGTTCTGTATACCGGGTACCTGACAATTTTTATTAGCTTTACAACTCTTTTTGAAGGACAAAAATAGAGGAGAAACCATCTTTTTAAGAAGGTTAGATATCGAAAAGTTAGGTATCGAAATACCGCTTTGGGCTTTTCTCAAATAGGTTCATTAAAGGCACAAAGTCCTATAATTTTATACTGTATGATCGCTGCACGCTGAATTGAAATATTTATTTTATTCCTTAACCGGCTTTTTCCAAGTGCTTCAAAGATATGAATGTAAAAAAATATTTCACACACTGAAAGAGTGAATCACTTTTTGCATTGTCATTATTTCTCTCCCAAATATGTTCTTGCTTACATTTTTTCTGGACCGAAAAATGTATTTCTGCATGCGAGCAACTTCTGAAAATTCGAATCGACAAAATTGGGAGCCCGAATTTTTTTACATTTTCGCTTCTAACTTCGTAGTGTTTGGAGAATTTTTGCTAAAATCTAACTGGAAAATATACTTCTCGAAACGATATCGAACAGGTCAATATGACTTTGCTGATATTTTCAGCCGTTTGGGAGCGAATCCTTAGTCCGGAACTTTCACTTTTTTATCAGACTTTTAGTCGCTTTTACTATGAAATATAGGGAAAAAAATGGCGAAATTTAACCCATTTGGGCTCAAAAGCTTGAAGCGATTGCAACTAAAATTTGATCGATTGTTGTATGGGCTGAAGCTTAGGTGTTTGCGAAGTTTGAGCGCATCCAACTGATAAATGAGTTTACGAAAAAACATATGTTGCGAGATTAGCAATTATTCCAATGTAGTTGTGAACTGTGCAGAGTATCGCGAGATTTTTTTATGAATTAGGAAAACACCTAAAATACCCATTATTTCTTCAACTCCTGTTTATAACAGCGTTGTGCCATGATTGATTTGATTTGATTATACTTGCCTGTAATTATAGCTACAGCTTCAAAAGCATCTTCTATGACTAAAGTCTAAACACATTTAACACTTCTGTGCATATAATCAGATAGAACTATTTATTCTAATGTCTAAGGTTGTCACATAGTTTTTGTCAATGTCTTTATGTGCTTTTTCTAATTTTTCAGGAAGTTAAAAGCCAAGTTCAAACATTAAACACGATTTAGATAAGCATACAGTCCCTTTATTTTTACATCAGCTGACCAATATATTCAGCTCTTTTCAGTTTCGCCTTAAGACTAGGCCATTGTACAATAAAATTATCAGCCATATAAATAAGAATCTTGCCAGTTAAGGAGAATGTTTCAGTCCTGCACAGACTTTCAATGAAGACAATTTTGCTTTCGCGTATGAAAGCGCATCTCAATAAGAAGCTGATCAAACATATTGGGATGCAGGTGCCTGGTCCATTGCACAAAATCAAGTCAAATCTTAGTCTAACAACAATTGGAACAGAATACAAGATTGATGCTATGGTGGTTAAAACTGAAGTAAAATAGGACTGCCCTACTGAGCGGCTTCTAGGGATGCTTATGATGAAGTATTCTTGATTTAACTTGGAATGTTTACTTTCTTCGAAGCTTTGTACTTTACGCAAACTAGTCACATCGCTCTGGGCAATGATGTAGTACCTAGGTGAGTAGTTTTGCAAATTCACGTTTTGTAGAAGTCGCAACATTTCCGTAGTGTGACCCCCTGATCCTATGCAAATTGCAGTTCTGCATGGCTTGGTTCTTTTTGGAGCGACTTTACTAAACCCTGTGGTTATTTTGTGGATTACATAAGTTATTCGAGCAATCACAAGAATAAATGATAGGAGAACCAGCTCAATTTTCAGCTGAGCTAGAAGGAAAAGAAGAAACAGAGTTCAATTGATTCAGTTTTTCGATGAATCAATAGCATAGGAGAGTGCTTGTAGGCTCCAAGGAACTTACAGTCCATTATGGAAGTGTATTAGCAGATTTGCTTCAGAGCCTCCGTATTTTAAAATGCAATTTTCTTAATTTAGAGACGTGTTAGAGACAAATCGGCCTTAGTGTTGATATTTGGATAAATCGAGGTTAAGTCCACAGATCACAGAGGTTACTCTGTGATCTGTGGTCTTCATGTCAACAAAATCCATAACTGCGGCAGTGCCGTTTGTTGCTCTACTACTTGCAAATCAGGATTTGGTAATTCTTTGCGACATCAGGCCTTGATCTGCGCCGCTAAAATTGTGCTTACCTAATAGATAATATTTTTACTAATAACCTTTATTAGTGATGTTTTTAGTGAAAAGGTGGTTTTCCACCACTTTTTTAAATTAAAATTCCTTATTTTTTCCTGAGATATTAAAGTATGATCTGATGTCTCCTCTACCTGTCAAACCGTTGTCACTGTGATGCAGGCCGAAAAAAATTGCACATTTGCCAATTCTATGATTTGTGCTTTTAGAGACATTTTGTAGGTATGTATTTGGTTTAGTTTCGTCTAGTTTTTTCACTTTTTGTTAATTTTGGTTAGTATTGGCTAAGCTAGTAAGTGCCTCATTATTCTTCTCTATACAAAAGCTTGCTACTTGGGTGGACATTTGGCAAAATGTTATAAAATATAGATATTGCCCGTGCAACCGAACTGCGAACTATGATGCCGCCCCTTTGTTATCTTATGGAAAATAATTCAATTTCAATGAATGCAAAATAGTCGAAAGCAGCATTTTCGCTATAAACACCACTAAGAAAAGTTGTTAACAAAAATATTATCTGAGGATGTGCACATTTTTATCAGGTCTTTCCAGGATTTTGCTGAATAGATTAATTTTACTTTGGTAGAACTGCTTTTAATTTTGATTTATTTTTCAGGGTTAGTGACTTTGAGGCCTAAGCAATTTGCTTATAACAATTTGCAATATAACATACGGCAAATTGCTTAGGCGGAGAATAATACTTAATTAGTAATATTAATACTTAATAATAGTCCTGATTTTAGTTCACGGATTTTTTTTGGAGGACTTGGCAATCATCCAAGCAATGTCTAGCCGATGCGTCAAAGTTGTCACAATTCACATGTCATGGAACTCATGGATGATCACAAAAAGGAAATAGATGCAGGTAGGTGTTGAGTAACAGATATTTTTTAAAACGCGTTTTCGTTTATTTGAAACGTTTGGGGTAAGTTTTCCTGCAGTTATATAATTAATAGGATATCGTTTGAGCACTCAGTTCAAGCCCCCATAGGGCAATTTTACATAACCTACATTCTGTCTGCCTTTTGGGTACGCATGTTTATAAACAAATGTAGCCAGCCTGCTGAATGCTTTGATCCATCGTTGATTGGTTACAGATTTTATTGTGGTGCAAAGGAAGAATATGAGACGTGGGAAACCCCAGCAAGAACTGTATAAACCTGGTAGCGGCAGACTGCGACGCTCAGACACTGGATCAGAAACTGGAAGCGTCCAGAGCTTACACAGTGATTACCGATTCAACGACTATTCAGACAAATTGGACGACAGTGCCGATCGAAACAGAGATCAGCAAAGAAGAGCGAAGAAGCCAGAAAGAGAGTTCTATGTACCCAGGGTTGTCGCTGAGGCTAGGGGACAATCAAGTCCTCAAAGTTGTGCGCCAGACTCAGGTAGGTAATAATCAATCTTATCGCGGCGAGTTTGCGAATGAATGCTAAGGCAGCAATTTAATTTCGGATTAAAGGAAGCCTGAATGGTACAGACAATTCTTATGAGAAAATGAATCGATCGAAGAGGTACTCTAGCAATAGAGCACGTGGAGACAACAACGGCGTCAGGAGCAATAATCAAAATGAGTGGAGAGATAACTCTCCTAATAGAAGCTATAGAATGGATTCGGAACAACGAAGGAACAAATCCCCCAATAGGAGCTTTAGAATGGAATCTGAACCGAGGGGTAAGTGGTGATAAGATTCATAGCGCACTTCTTGAAGAACTGATTTAGGTGCCCAGATTATCAAACTATTTTAGGTGTCTATAACCACGCCTAACTTCTAAGAATAGTAATTCTAAGAAATTTAGTGTTTATCTTAAAGATAACCAAGTTATTTGCTATTGTTCGGTTTATAGCTGATTACTAGCCTTATTGATTGCAGCGTGACCGTGAGGGTAATGAAAACAAATCTTTGCTTTGTTGTTGTTTACCTGGGATCACAATTGAATTTTCCAGATTCAAAAATTGTTTTCAAGCAAACTGTTTATTATTATTATATTAAATATTATGACAAACATTTTAATATAACATTCGGAAATTTGTTGGGGGGTTGACCGAGAAAATAATTTAGAAAAATTAATTAATTAATCCATTCCATAATAGTACAAAATTATAACTATGTATTTATTGATGTATAGCACAATGATAACGCATTTTAATTTTTTTCCTATTAGTGCTGTTTATCGTCATTTCTGTCGTTTTTAATCCGATACAATTCCTGATTTTAACACTATGTATGTATATGTATACTCGACAAAAAATGTATATTTGTGATCATATTAGTGGGCAATTTTTCTCCTCAACTCTGATGGACATATTGAAAATATTTTATGAGAAAAATCAAATATGAGCAAGATGATACTCCACTTCATTATACGACCTTTCGTAGTATATTAATTGTAAAACGGGGTACCATCGAAAGCTCTTCAAGATCGCCGGATTTGCTAAATTACGGAAATCATAAATACAATTCGAATGTATGCCAATCATTTAAATTCAACTCTCGCATTTATTTTTCCGAACTCCAGTAACAAAATCTGTGAAGAACCATAAAATACATATTTGGTGATGCCTGATTTCTTCTATCTTCAATAAGTCGTCGGGAACTATTCATTTCGGAAAGATCGAAGCTTTCCAGATCTTCCTAGGATTAACAATTTAATTTTATGAGTCACAGAGGCGTTTGAACAAGGCATAACCGTAATTATCGCCTTGCTCATTTTTCTACTTGGGGCTGATGCCTCAGACTGACCAGCAAGTGTCTTTTGGGGCGAGTAATTTCCAAAAAAGTTCATTTATTAGATTATAGATGTGACATAAAAGCGGCTACGGCTCCCTTGTCACGTTTTAAATTATCAAGCCACCCAGCACTCTCTTTACAGTTTCGGTTAACGTAATATTGATTATATAAAAATTGTTTTTTTATAATAGGTTTTTCCCTTAATATTTCTCCTGACATTGAAGGACAAATATTTTGTAAGTGAGGGATCTGTGTCACATAATAACTGTTGAGATAAATTAATTGTTGTTCGGACTAAAGGTCTATATTTCGTAAACTTCGAAAATAAAAAACTTTTGCTTACCCTTGGATCTATAAGTAATAGTTCATAATTCGTTCAAATTTGGAACACAATATTTGTGGAGCTGGATTTTTAAATACTTTTTAACCCTGCCTTAATTATATGCCACTCGTGGTTCAATAACTAATTTGTGAAGCTTTTGCATTCCCCCTATTAAGGGTTCGAATTTCTTCTGGTGTATACAATGACTAAGAAATGTGAAACTATTAACAGCAGTGAGAATCTGTGTTTCTGGACATGTTTGTGAGCATCTGGCTTTCTTCTAAACTTTTTAGTGTCAATAAAAATCGATTTATTACAACAAGTTACATTCAGGTGGATTCGGCAATAATTCTAATTGGAACCAAGACATCGATCGTAACCGAGAACGAGACACTCGAAGTGTCGAACCGACGGGCGTGGGAAATCGCAACAATTGTGATGGGCCAAAATTTCTGCCAAAACCCCCAAGCGGTCGAAGGCATAGCAGTACCGGTAATTTCCAACACAATATGAATATGAAAATGTTCGAGCAGTTGGCACCCAGATTTAGGAAGAAATTCCTACAGGAAAAAGGCATGGCTTTGGACGATGCCGGATGGGACGGAAACAGTTCCGTTTATCAGGTAGATTAGTAATTTCGGCTTAAGACATTACATTCTATAATAGCGTTTTCGATTCTAGTCGAATAATTCGCAACAACACAACCAGCAAAATTCAAGCTTCCATTCTCTGGACGTCTACAGCACTCTACCTCATGCAAACGCTACCTCAACTTACAATTCAAATTCCAACTACCACACGTTGCCTGGAAAACCGCGCGGAAGAGGTCGCTATAGCTATCATGAGCCTGAATTTCAGCCTGGTCCAGCGTTTAGATCGATTACTCCCGATCGATCAAGGTAATTATTAAGAACTACAAAAGGGAAGTTATGTGATAGTTGTTTTAACTGTGGGTTGGATTTATAGTGTAGGAAGAAGTCCGGCAAGTTCACGCCCAGGTACTCCGACAAGACGGTTTGATAATAGTAGACCGCCTAATCATCCCCCAAGTCGCTCACAAACTCCTGTGAATCATTATCAGGATGACAATAGGCATGGTGGTGATGTATGGGGAGATCGAAATGGCCGACGGGGTGCAGCGAATTCAAACGTTTTTGATCGAACTGGAAGTAGAGCAAGCGAGCCCAGATATTCTGACAACAGAGAACGGTAAACAGTTTAGTTATTTGTCTAGATTTATATTATATAATCGTTGTAAATAGGGATCAGAGAAACAATGACTTTAACCGCCGAAGAGACGACGATAACAATAGACTAGATAGAAGACATGAAGCGGATAGAGAGAATGATAGATTTGATAGAGGACGAAAAGAGCATCATAGAAAGGGTGACAGAAGAAAAAAGAGTGGTAAATATTGCAGCAAAAATCGGAAATGTATTTTAAATTATTTCTACCACTCCAGGCCGAGATATGAGAGGGTCGAGTAGAGATCTTCCCAGGCCCAATTCTAGGGAGTCCCATATGAATAGTACAAATAGTACTTTTGCTAGTGATGTGGAAGGTACACTAATGACAAGCACAAACGATCCTTCTGAGTTCAATCAGCCCAGACAGGATCAAGCCGTAATAAGCAGCTCACCAGCAGAAAGCCTTGAAATTGAAGTGGAGTTTAAGCCAATAGATACGAACGTAACTTTCGATTGGAACGAAGAGATTGAACTGAGTAAGCTCGAGGCAGCTGCCAAAGCGATGACTAGAAGTTCTTCGGTGGCTAGTTTGCAGGATGTCATTTCTAGGTCAATGCCTGCTTCAGCTAGTGTCTCCACTAATGTGAAAAATAAAAGGTGAGAAATGCGGCACGTTTTTTTATGGATGGGAACAGGACTTTCCGTTTTGATTTTTTTTCTGATGTATTTTATCAAACATGCTTTTAATTTCACATACAGCTGTGAAAAGGGTTGAAAAGTCAGACAAACAGTAAATAACATCAATAATTTTATATAAAAATTATGTCGTAGTCTACTTGACTCACACATAGACTATTATTCCTTTTAGGAGGAGTGGACGGAGAAAAAGTAAGCAGAGGTGAGTGTTTATGTGCCAGAAGTATGTTGATAGTATTATGTGTATGGCACTCCTCAGGCTTGAAGTTGATCTGGTAAAATTAAAAAAAGCTGCTATTTTTTGCATAAAGCGTAATTCGGCCAGTATGTTCTAAAACAGTAGTCAACTGAATTATCTCAGTTCAAATGCGGAAGTTTCTCAAGATAATTTCTTGTGTGCTAGAACAGGGGGTGTCAAACTCAAAAACTATCTTGGGCCAAATAAACAATGCTTAACTTTAGGTGGGCCGCAAAAAATCAATGTTAACAAAATATGTATTTTGCTTCTATTAATTTAATTGTAATAAACATATATGTATAAAGTAAAGTTATAGTTTACGTTCTGGTACTTCCGATCTCTTCTCTGCTACTATCTTTCATTTCCTATACCGGGAGAAATTTTATTGGCGGGGACTGCTTTCAAAATTGACCCAACGTGAGCGTTATTAATACAGTTTCGGTCAGTAGATTTAGATATAGATAGTATTTACATTCATAACAGAAAATAAATGCTCGCAGTGGTAACTACTTCCAAACATGGAAATAACTTCATATGCCAATTTTCCAGTATTTTCAAGTCTTGCCGGTAAATATTTGTAAAATTCAGGCACACCCACTTGAATTTTGCCTTCAAATTTGAATCGCACTGAATATCATTCACTGCCAAGAGTTGCAATATAGAATAAGTCACGAAATTGCCGGTATTTCTCGGAATATACTTCTAAATTCATTCAAGTTTTGTTCAGCGAGTATCAAGAGGTAAACGGCGCACACTGAACACTTTTGAAGCTAAAATTTCAATTTAACGCCGGGAATCAATAAAATTAGCTTGTTTATAAATTCTGCCTTTCTGCTCTTTCTTTCACCATTCGTATTGAGGCGAAACTTAAAAGAGCCACAAGTTTGATACCCCTGTGCTCGAGAATTGTACAATTTTCGCATAATTTTCAAGTTCAGTAGACAGACGCTTAGTTCTACACACATAAATGTCATGCCAATCGGATTTTAAATGTTTTTTTTGTGTATGTGCATTCTTCTTGTATGAGCGTGTAAATTTTTTTTAAAGGTCACATTTAAAGCGTTACTTTGATTTTCAGAGGCGGCATTGATTATTTGGACAAAACTCTGGCTCATCAAAATGACTCGTTTCGCGGAGGAGACATTCGGGATAGAGATTTCAAGTGAGTAGATATTAAATTTAATGTACGGGGTTATTGAGCTTATGGTAAAGTTACATAGTTTATAATACTCTAATATATCTCTGTATAATAATCTCTGGATCTCTATTAAACATTTTTTAAAAGTAATGCACGATCAGTATGAATTAAACAATTTTTGATTTAACATCACCATCATAACTAGATCACTATACATTTCATAAAATAATGCCAATTATTTATGACGGTTTTTTTAAGTATGTTCGTTTTATTTCATCTCAACTCAACCTTCATTTGAGAAATCTAACAGTTGTTTAGACATAGGTCCCTTTGGTATTTCTATAAAAGTATTTCATAACTTAAATTTTCGGATTTGTTTCAGAGTTCCTCATGATTCTGGTTCAGGTCGGCATGGTCGACGTAGACGATCTTCTCGTGACACGAGAGATGTGAGTTTTGACCGGTTTCATAACAAATCTCGCGGACCGAGCCGAGAAGTTAGCTTTGATCGATCCCAGTCTGGGCAAACTGGCAATTGGAGAGACGAAATAATAAGAAGCCGACAAAATTCGGAACGAGAAGGTATGAACAGAACGTGCAAGTGATTATTTGTGTTCTGAAAATGGATGACTTACGTTATGCAGTTATCATTGAAATGTTTTCAGGTTCCGTTATGAATAGCAGAATAAGTTCAGATCGCAGTCGACAGAACTCAGAACGCGATGATCACATTTCGATAGATATTCCTAGCAAAAAAGGTGGTCTGCTGGTTTTGCCATCAGCCAAATCGCCGGAATCCTCTCAGTCATATACTGAACGACCGAAATTCCCTGAAATCCAACATGTCACGCCTGCTGCACAACAAAAAACTCTGTTTGATCCCAAAAATCCTAACAAACCGATTCTTGTCAAATCTCCGGGAAGTAGAGTGTCAGCTCCTGGTTTTACCGAAAGTTCGACCGAAGCCCCCAAACTCTACATGACTGATTCTAGTGGAAAATCGGTACCTATTTGGTACAATGAACAGAGGTAAATTGAATCGAAATTCAAATAGGTTATATTAAATATTGAATTGTATTTTTTTTACAGTGAAGATTTCAAATCGAGTAATTTCAAAGAGTTCCTTCGGGACATAAAGCGGGCAGACTTTGAGCTCCAATACATAATGGACAGCGGCCTACTATTGGTCAATTACGATGCAGTGGATAATTTGAGGCAGTTTCTGAAGCGCGCTCTAGAATTTATGCTGTGTAAAGCTATCAAGTTTTGCCAAACCGAGAACGTCGAACAGCATATTTGGAAAATTCTCTACTACAATATCATCGAGGCTACTAGAAAGGCCATGGTAGATGATCCCGACAACAAACCTAAATATAAGAAATTCCTGCTGAATATTATCGACGAGGGTAAGATGGAAACAGCTGCTTTGATAGGGGGGTTTGCTGAAAGTCATTTTTAGGTACCAAGTACTTTGAACGGCTAGTGGGCATTCTGGAAGATACGTTCAACTTCAAAGTGGCTAATTACACAGGGAATAATGCCATGGCACCACATAAAGGTTCAGGGAACGCCAGGCTGGCCTTGATTTCAACACAAAAAATTTTCCTTTTTTTGGGTGACCTGGGTCGATACAAGGAACAAGTGAACGAAACCACTAACTACGGCAAATGTAGGCAGTGGTACATCAAATCGCACGAAATTAATCCCAAGAATGGAAAACCGTACAATCAATTGGCTGTTTTGGCTGTTTATTCAGTAAGTGTTCAGTTTGAATACGCATTTTGCTTAAGATAATTTGTTACTTTGACTTTCAGAGAAGGAAATTAGACGCTGTATACTACTACATGCGTAGTTTGATGTCATCAAATCCCGTGCCGTCTGCAAGAGAATGCCTGGTTTCGTTGTTTGATGAAAATAGAAAAAAGGTGAGTTACTTTCCAATCAGTGTTTGTGGTTTTTTCAGATTGTGCTTTAACTTTGTCGTTTATTATTACCATTGCCCATGTGGAATACTTATCAATTTTCTCTCTTTAACATGCTCGCCGTTTGCGTCACAGTATCTCCAGCAGATATACGTATGTATATTCTACAACATTTGCCTGTACGTTGCACTATTTTCCCGCCGCTTTTTAGTGAATGCATTAGTTTTCTACCTATTGTGACTTTAGACTAGCAATGCTAATTGGCAGTGGGCGAAGACTGTAGAAGAATAATTCTCAGCTCATTTTTTTTTTACTCTAAACTATTTTTAACTTAGCTTAATAATACGTCCGTCTACATGAAATTTAATTCATTATTTTAATACCGAGTACAGATGATCCCCGTGTATATTCAGTAAAGTATTAATTCTTATTGAATTTTGTTATTTCTGTGGCGCTGACCGTATTATCCACATTTGCTTCTCACTAATTCTTGCACTTATTTATTTATCTACTTAAAATGTATTTCAACGGAAAAGTCGCAGGAGGTAGTGCTGGCAGATGGAATTATTTACGGTAGAGAAATAAAACATCATCCTCTGAAGAGCGCACTGCTAGATGGGAAAACCTTTAACACCTTGTACAAGTCTCCAAACATTGCTGATTCGATTCGATCATTAACAAGACAACCGTTTCTTAGTATGAGCAAGGGGAGAAAAAGCGCCGCGAAGAACGTCTAGAACGTCAGCGTCAGCACATGAAGCAGAAGGAGTCTGAGGAGAATGGTGCTGCAAACAGCCTCAGGAAGGAGACCTGGATCCGTCCTGATGGAGGCCGACGCTTACATAGAACCACTAAAGCGTTGGAAGACTATCTGCGCGACTCTGAGGAGGAGGACTTGGCTGCGTTAAGTAGCGTAGAGGTAACAGTTTTTTGGAGTTTCTTACAGATCAGTTATTGATGGTCATTAGCGAACTAATTGTTTTCTGTTCAAGGGATGCATGAGAAATTGTTAATTTTTTTTAATTTATTTTTTCAGGTTAATAAGAGATTTGTCACCAGCTATCTACACGTTCATGGAAAGTTAATAACCAAAATTGGGTACGTCCTTTACAGTTTTATTTTTCTTATAGTTTGTACATTTAAATTGAGCCAAAGAATGTTTTCATTTTTCTGTCTATGTGTCTCTTAAAAATGTTTTGGCAACAATATCATGCTCCTTCATTTTTTTTGCTGTTGTTAAGAAACATTGTATATCCAGTGCACCTGTCCGGTGCGTGACTCATCCTGCAACAGCAGCAGCTTTATCCAACTAATCGGATTCTTATTATTGTCTGGGCATGAATGCCCAGTTGAATTATGCCCCCTGTCGATCGGCGGCCCTTTTTGTTGCCATCGTGTCGACTAAGAACAATGGATTTGCTGCCCAGTTCAAAAGGCCGTGGCAGGTTTATAAATAGCGCAACGAGAGGATGAGATGCTAATTCGTGCTACATTCATTCAAGTACAAAAAGGGCATTATTGGCATCCGCCACCTAGCAAGCAAAATCGCCTAATGATCGTAGTAAATTTTCTTAGTAATCCGTAATCTAATTACGTTGACCCCGAAAATAACCGACCCGTTGTAAAGGTAATATTTCGCGGTATTAATTGTGATTTCTTTTGGCAGAATGGAAAGCTTCCAAGATGCAGCCATGCAGATGCTGAAAGAGTTCCGAGCGCTTTTGCAACATTCTCCTGTATCGCTGCCCTGCAACCGATTCCTCCAACTTTTGGCCCTGAACATGTTCGCCATCGAGAGTACACAGCTTAAGGGTAAGTGTTTTTCATGCTTTTCCCAAGTCAAGGTACGGCAATGAGTGCCACGTAGTAGCACCCCGAGGGACTGTTTGAAAAATCGCAATTAAACTGTCAACCTGCCGTAAATTTCGTTTAGCTGTTTTGCAAAACAGTTACAACGACCAGATTCTTGGTTTAACTGCCGATAAATCTCGGGTGCAAAATCATAAAGTGATAAAGCTCGAAATACCCAAATCGACATAAATTTGCGAGTGAACAACCGCTGCCCGTCTCCTATTTTAACTGATGGAATGGGAGCTTCACACCGCTTTATGGCGGAAGTTGCAAATCGTTAATAAAGGCTTTTGAGGGTTTTTCTAAAACGGTTCGTAAACCATGGCGAGTCTTTTCATGTGGCACTTAAAATGTGACCAAAGTGCCGGATAGGATTTCTAAGGAAAAGCATTTAACGCGTTGTTGTACGTTACTTTTAACAGTACAATTTTTTCATTTTTTATAATCAAGTTTTACAAAATTACATTTCTGTGTAAAAGCAAGCTTATATGAAGAGAATCTTTTGTGTTTAGTTATTTTCGTCGTTCAAATTAGCTTAAGCTAATTTTGTCTAGTTTGCCCAAAACTGCCTATTAGTGGTTCTCAATCTGGTACCTCATTCGTCTATGAAGTACTCAGGTACCGTTGATTTTTGCCCTAAGGTGAATTCCGCCGATTATTGCTTAGGTTGGGCCAGTACTCATCTTTGTAGCTTATTGCCTTCCAGCCTAGGTCAATTTAATTATGATTTCCCGAAAAAATTCCCTTTGCTGCCATTGAAAATGTGGGTAAGTGGGCCGGTCGCACACTGCATGGTACCATTAGTAAAGTTAATGGCCTTGCTGTTGGTAACTTTATTCCCATTGATTTTATTTAATTGATTTTAGCCATCTCCCATCTCTGGGTTTTCATGTTTTACCACTTGAAAAGGTGTGACGCTGTAAAGAATATGTCTATGTGGGAGACTATGAGAGTATTGGTTGCTCTTACTTGAGCTTCAGGAATTTGTCGTAAAGGCAATTAAGAAGTTAATAGGACGTTTTGAGGTCTCATAAGGCAATTTTTCAGTCAGTCAACCGGATTAATTGAGTTCATCGACAGGTCGAATGGTTTGGTAGCCATTCTCCTAATCAATTATGATGTTATCTGTTCAAATTGAAATAATGACCCGAATAAAATTTAGTCACAATGCCCGGTATGCTCGCGCTCAAAAGTAATTTGGCAAAGAAATGGGCTTTTTTGCTGATGCGGAATTTACAACGGAATTCTATTTAAAGTTTTTTTGCTCGCTATGATCGTTTCAGAGATGAATGCCTGCTCACTGTATTGTGACGGTCGACCTTGCAAAAAACACCACCAACTGAAACCGTAATCCGATGGATGATTCTGAGGTATCAGTTTAATCATTACTGTTTCAAGTTGGGCAGTCATTTGGTCAGGGCGGTTTAGAAGAGTCAGTGATTTCCTTTTCTTCTGCCATCCTTTCCAATGGTTGCTTATACAAGGTGACATTTTCAACACTTGCAACCTGAGAAAGGCAGCCCCGTGCCTCTAGTGGCTCATTCTAAAATTCTATAAAATGCTGTTTGCTAGCATTCTACCTAATTCCACATTTGATCAAGCAATTATCAGTCATGCAATGAAAAAGGAATAAATTGAGGTTTCCTTTAACTAGCTGTTCAAAATGGTTGTCGTTATTTTTTCAACAATAATGGACCTAGTTCTTCTCATTTAATAAATTAGTCTAATCACCGATTGGAGTTTTGCCAACTCAGGTTTCCGAAGTTGGAAAACGTCAATCTTTCTTAGAAGGTATCTTTCATTAGCTAAGTTTTCTCAAAAATTCCTTACCCTTTACGCAATTAAAAACAAGAAAAAGCTAATTTTTAGGGATTAATCTCGGGGTAAAAATATCCGATAAAAAGATCACTGTGATTGATAATATCGAGCTTTCGTTTGATAGTATTAAGGGCTTAAGCAAACTTTGTAACTTCCAAAAGTGCTCATATTTGATCAAATGGAACATATTCACATATCTCGCAAACGGTTTACTTCAAAAAGATTCCAGCCCAGCATATTAAACTCTATTACAATACTATCTTCTTAATTATTTAAGCTTAAAAGTTGTAAAAGAAGAAAAGAAACAGAAGAACATTTTTAGAAGATGAAGAAAGTTGAGCTATGAAGGTATATAAGATCAGAAAAATAGCAATTTCTAAAGATAATTTCGTTAAATTTGTAGATTGCCATACAAGTATAGCATTTTTAACGAGGTTTACAATCACCTAATACAACTTTTTGGTTCCCGCCGCTTTATCAGAAACATGGCTTTGAGAACTTTTTCAGATTTTTTCTCATTATCGAAATATTCGATTTACAATTGCTTAAAATGTGACCTGTTTTGATATAACGTTGATGGGCTGGCTTATCTGTTTAAATGCGAACAGGGTTTTCTTTTGAAGAAAGGAAGAACGTGTTTGGGTTTTTCTTTTTTGGTTTGGGTTCACATTTTTCTCTAACTAGACATGCTGACGAATGCTTATTTTCATGTGGTTTTACTCAGCTTTGTGTCTTTTGTTCGTAGGTAGTAAATAACTGCTTTATTTAAATAAAATTTAATTACTTTAAAAACATAATTTTAAAGATTTCTGTAACAATTACTCCCCTTTCCGGGTTTTGCGTACAGTTGCTGCATATGCGGAAAATTGATATTGCCGTTCTAATTTTTTTTAGTTTTCGGCGTTACGGAACTCACGTTGATATCTGAATCGTTATTATCCAAAGGGGAAAAAACCTTTATCTTCAATCAATGTTGATCTTTCGATGCAAGTCGCATCGGTGCATTGGCCGAAAGTCGTGCCCCAAAAAATCCCACAATTCATTTTCCCCGAAACCGATAACGATGTATAAAGAGAGAGTCTAACTGTTCATCCGGCTCGCGATGGGAAAAAAGACGAAAGGAAGGAAAAAAACCGATTCAGTATGTGGTTATGTATAAGCGAGTCTCTGTGTGTAACCTGTCAATATTGATAACTTGTTCGGGATATTTTTAAATCTTCGACCGACCAAAGCGCATAACGGTCCGGGAATGTTAAATATAAACCGATTGCTGGGTCTGATATGCCGAACATGTTTTATTGGCGGTTTTGTGCAGTTGTTATTGACATGGAAACAATCATGTGAACTTTAGGACATCGACGAAGCCAGTCAGTCATTTTACGTAAAAAAAACTTTCTTATTCAAAACTATTTTCATCATTCTTTGGAAGAAAAATTTTGGCGAATTTTACACGTTAATTAAAAAATAATCAAAATATGCAAATTTAGTGCTCTCACTATCATACCTGATAAGGCCCATGGACATTAATTGGAGTTTCGAAACTGCTTTTTAATTATTGGCCACAAGATTGCAGGTCTTCGATTTGGCAGGCAAAAAATGGACTTTAATCGAGGTTCGCCTCCTTGTTGATATCCGGGCAATAACGGCAATAAATGTTGCCAAAAATTTTAATTTTTATGACAACTGTTGCAAGGTCCTGTTGGGTTTTGTGCATATTAGGAGTAACGGAAATCGGATGAATGAAAATAATTGCTTTCCCATGTTCGACTCAAGAGCACCGTTTAGAATTGGGGAAATTGATAAAATCGTTTTTTTTGCTTTCAGCTTGAGACATTTACATTGCAGCGGAAATGTTATTTCAATAAAATCATCAATTATAAAGCAAGATTATTAAGAAAAATATTTTAAATTTTTTCAAAGTGTAATAATATGATGCATTATCGCAACCTCCTCATTATTTTGCCGCATCAATCTAGCTCTAACTAGATCGCGAAAGTACTGTATTTTGCATACTACGATTGTTAGTGCTGTAAAAGGACTCTACAATCAAGGGAATCGCAAGTTTGATTGCCGATATTCTGATTGAAAAATCAATTATAAAAACAGTTGCAGAGTTGTGTATTTTATGGCGAAAATGCTCTAGCAACACGACTGGCGCCATGTCCATAAAATTACGAAAAAAACGGGAAATGTGAAAAAAATACATCAAGAAAAGAATGGCATGAATGCGCTCACGCCACGAGATCGTTTTCTGGTTTCTTCTTCTGCTTCTTCAGATGAAATACTCTCTCGGACATTAGCATAAACCGGTTGCAGGTTTACTCTACCTAAAGCTTTGTCCACAACATGGATGATATACTGGGAGTGAATGTTTACATTGGCCGGATTACTGCACAGTAGTGAATTTCATATATTAGCATGGCTGTGGTTGACAATAGAAAAAAGGCTTTATTTCTGGATTATTTTATTTTCTACCTTGGTTTTTTTGTTGATAGAAACTCTAACAGCGAGCGAAGAATGTCACTGATTGATTAAAACTTATTTAAAGTATAGGGAGCGTTAAACGCAAATAATCACAGCCATAGTGTGAGTTGAGCTGAGAGCATGAGCCGCGGAAAATTCCTTTAATGTTTCGTCAAAACACCAAGACACACCATTTTCTATCGAGTCTGTTTTGAGGAAACAATTCAATTAATTCATTAATATCAAAAGTGAAAATTTAATAACAGAACTGAAAAATTGAGAGAGAGCTATGAGGAAATAATAATTGAGACTATAAAGAATACAGGATCAATAAAATATGAGATTAGCAAACACCTCTAAAATAATACTCATAGTACGAATTTAAAAAATGAAGACAAAACAGTGTAATAACTACTGTAAAATGGCTTACAAAATACCGATTTACTGTATTTTATAGGCCGGGAATGTGTTTTCAAGGTATCGTATTTTTTTATAAACAAATGGCAACAAGACCCCAACGTTAATAGGCTTTTGAATAAAAACGTTAATAAAACGTTTGAAAAAGTACCTAAACAAAAAGCAGCATATTTTACAAGAAACCAACACAAATGAAAGGACTATTCGGACTAAAACGGAAAAGCTGTTCATTTAGGAACTGATTAACTTAATAGTTCATTAAA